TCCAGTGAAGCTGTAGTGATTCATGCCACCTTGGGACCTGGCACAAAACACCTCCCTTTGATGGGCACAGGACTATCAGTTGGCGTTGTAGTCAGCAGATGGTACGGATTGCAATGCTGAGGCTGGCAGCCCCGACCACAGCACAAAGCACATTCATCTCATTTCCAAGTATGGAAAATGTTTCTTGATCACTTGATTCCAAATGGCAAATTTGACTTTTTAAACTGCAAATATAGTTCTGGCCTGGGGATAATTTCCTTTGTAAATGCATGATGAAATAATCCCATAAAGCAAAAAAAATAGGTTGCATGTGGCTCGATATAATCCGTATTTATTGGTCATTTTGATCCTGTACACAGCAAAATAGTAATATGAATACACCATCTAAGCTACATACAGAGTATGTACATACAGAGAAGGAACAGTTAATTTTACATAAAATGGAGAAGGCACATAATGCAGTGATACACTATGATCATTCTGAGCTGGCCAAATTCCAGCTGCAATATTTGTATTCTGCCTACTGTAAATATTCCTGGGACTCTGAACGTACTCCTCACTGTTTCACAGGCTGGATGTCACCTCCTTCCAAGGGAAAAGGGAATGGACTGTGACAGGGGAATAAGTTGCTTCATCCTTCCCCTGCTTCTGAGTATCTTCAGGGGAATTTGGTGCAGAGCAGATCATGTGCTCTAACTTAGCACCTTCTCTTTCTGTGTAGATGACTATTAAACATGAAGAGAAAGTTTAAGTGTGTAAGGTGTGGGAGTATATTGTGCATTTGTTTCTTTAATGGATAGGTTGCAAGTGATAATGAATAAACTATTTTACTTTCAGCTTTTGAGCCAAATGGCGAGATAGAATAAACAAATGTAATTTTGAGATATTTTAAGTCTTCTGCGTGGAGATACCTCCATATTAATGGAGGTTATCAGTGCTTTTTGGGAAATCAGAAGCCAAACTTGATTAGTTTTTTCCTTATAGCAGCACAAATGCTGTCCACAACTCTTAAATGTTATTGCTCCTCCCTGAATGTCTGTGCTTCTATATGCATTTTATTACAACCCTGGGCTGAGAAGCAGTAAAGAGCTTGACATCTGCTATATCAGTCTTAATCTGTGGTTTAAATTTCAGCAAGGATGGTATTAGACACTCTTTATAATGTATGCTCTTTCCTTTTAACTGTTGTTCCCTGGTTGAGATATGGCCCGGAAGGGTCAGTCTTCCTAACCACGCGTTTCACGGTCTCTATAGCATGTTATTATAGCGACGGCTTTGGGACTTTTTGTGCTTCTCCAGGCTGCCATTGAGTTTTTCCAGCTGGAGCATCTGCCTCCCTGCCTTCTTTGGATGTTGCTTTTTTAATTCGGCTTTTCAGAAAGTGTATTTAGAACTGACATTTGTGCCTTCTGGGCCTTTTCTTGTTTGTTTCTTATAAGATCATAAACAGAGTTTTGAATATTTCACATTTTAATCCCTATTTGCAATAAAACATGCTCCCTCTAAGTTATCTTACACAGACCTGCTTCGGTGGGTAATTCTCGTTCCTGACTCACCGGCATCCTCCCTCCTTCCCTGTGGCCTCACTGCTACGAAAGCCCAGCTTCGCCCTTGCTGCGATCCAGCTTTTGCCTCCACCTTCCTCAAGTGCCATCCACTTGCATTTCCTTTTCTTCTCTCACTTCTGCCTGAATTTTCACCACTCTTATTTTTATCGTTTCCTTTCCACTGAGACTGACAGCAATCACTTACGATTTACTCTAATCTTAGTTTAAAGGTTTTTCCCCTGCCTTCTGTCTCCTTGACTTACCTTCTACAAACCACACTCGTATTTCACTGTGAGATTTTCCCTTTCTTGTGCTTTTATGGGTGTCTCTTTAATTCTTTAGGAGCATATTCCTCCAGAGCTCTCTTTGGTCTGTATGAAAACTCTTCAGGCTTTCATCTTCTCATCCTTCATCTGTACATGTTCCTGGGTATCTTGCTCAGCCCTATAGATCCTCTGTGTGGCAACACTTTCTCAAATATTTTATTACCTCTGTACAGATTGTTTTTCTACTGTCTCCAAAATTTTATCCAGAAAGTCAAACCACTGAGAAGAGCAGAATTACTTTCCAGCCACTTCCTTATTCTTGCTCTTTCACTCTGAACAATAATGCTTTCCTTCAAGTTAGTTCTCCATGCAGACTGCCTCCATCTTCAGCTGCTTTCTCTCTTTTGTCCTTTTTCTTTGAATCATATAATAATTTAGTCTGGAAGGGACCTGCTGAAGTCATCTAGTCCAACCTTCTGCTCAAACAAGGGCGAACTTCAAAGTTAGATCTTTATTATAACCATCCTTCTGAATTGACTTAAGCTCTGTTTTTCTTTCCCCATCTCTGCTATTCACTGAGATTTCTATCAATTTTATTTCTCCTTTCTGCTCATACAACCATTATCATTGACCAGAAACCCGAGAACACCAAGCAGGTTTGTGGAAGCATCTTCCTTGCATCTGCTTTACTAGTTCAATGCTGCTTCTGCTACTTGTGCCCAGTTGGTGCTTCTGGATTCCCCCAGCCTGAGCTCTCTGCCCCCAAGCCCTTCCCGCCTGCAGCCTTACACTCTTCTTGCCCGCTTACTCATCGCTTGCCCTCTTGTTCCCACAGGTTCCTGTGTCTTTGCCCGCTTTGCCATCTCTGTCTAGAAAGTGGCCTTGTCTTTGGGTCTCTCGCAGCTTTTTTTTGGGTGAGGCTAAATCGATGTGTGTAAGAATCTGCCCAAATCACTCCTGCTTCTCTTGCGGTCTCTCACCCTCACGCGCTGCTCTTTGCTGTCTCGTTTGCTGGGCGGTGTCTACCTCAAACTGTATGCCTGAATCAATTTCTTCTTTTTTCACATATTTACTTATCCTTCTAAAAATGATCATGCCTAACAAACTAGTATTATTTTTTTTAGTATTTTTTTACTATTCCTTAGTAGTGTCTCATAGGGGCAAATGCTGGGCTAAACCAAGAGTTTCAATTAAAAGCTATTACATCCGTTACCACATAACGCCATGATTCAAAAAGATCTTCCCTGAATCACTGCTATCTCTTACCTGCCATCATCGGTTTGGTAACTTATTTTTCCGTTCTTTCCTTTGGTTACCATTTGAACTCTCTGGATTTAAACTGCATCTGTACAACAACGATTGCATTCAAAATAATAAGCTTCAGTAGTAAAGCTGTAAATTGGGCTAGAATAAAATCTGTTGTGCATTTTCCTTGTGACTACATTCTGCTCTTTCAACTTGGCTTGAATCCTACCATCCGCTCACATTTTCTGTAGCGCCTTGTTTCGAAAGATATCTGTGAGGACTGCAAAAAATCCAGAATGTGCTTACTATCATAGTTATTGCTAATCATCTAATACAAAAATAAATGTAGTGACATTGATATTCAGTAATGCCTTAAGGGGTTCATTCAAAATGAATTATGAATTGATCATTAATTAAAAAGATGAGTTAAACTCTTGGATAGTGAATGTGCGTGCTCTGTTTTGCAACTCCTGGAACAACCATCTGGGGGTTGATGCCTATATCTGGGGTGTTTCACAACTGTGGGAACATATAAGCTGAACTGCAGGAAGAAAGAAATGCCATCATGGACTTTCCATTCTGTTGCCTCTCTCTTGTGGGTTCAGTTTGTGTGGGAGCAATACTTACACTTTAATTTGACTACATGTGAAAATGAACTGGATGAGTTACTGCTAAAATTTGCCTCTGTAGTTCAAACCCCGCCTTGGCCTGGGTTTATTTTTGGCACATCCTTTCCTACTACAAGAACGATCATTGAATTTCTTGAAGATTTTCAAATGTCTCTTTCATTACGACATTTCTTCCAAACTTCTCCTGTTATTCCATTACATTTTACGCGTTTGGTTTTTTTTCAGCAAACAGTTGCAATCCTTTTGCTGCTGAGGTTTACAAGGTAGTTAAATGGGATTATCCCTGTTTTAAAAGAGGAAAATTGAGGCATAAAAATTTATTTGCCCATGATCGTATGAGAAGTCTGAGCTCCAGCAGAAGCACCGAGTCTGTCGTAATTATTTCCAAGCCCGTGCTTTACCTGTAGGCCACTTCTGCCTCTTTCCTGGTTTTTTCCATGAGCTTTGGGAAACATTTTTGAGCATGCTTTTTGGCAGCCAATGTATTTTTGCAACGTGAGAAGCAATAGTTTTCTAAAATGGACCATCAGGTAATATTGTACTAAGAAAATGGCAGTAGTCTGGATACACAGATTTTGTTTAGGATGTTTAGATTTGATGTCTCCTACGAGGTCAGATTGTGCCTACTGGACATTTTAGGACATGGTCTTTTATACTCAGAGAAATACGTGCTTTTGTGGAAACTGAAATTCTTTTCAGTAGAAGGTGGAGGGGCCGCAGATAAAACGAGAGAACCTGGAGGAAAGAAAACCGATTAAACTTGAAGCATTTATTTCGGAGAGTTTTCACACAGCTTTCTTTTAATCCCTGATTAAGAGATGAAAGTCGATATGCTGAGACACAGCTCTAGTACTAAACCCTTTGATAACAGAATTATAATGTCTTTATTGTACAGGCTTATTTGATTTGTCTGCATTGTCTTCTGCAGCAGTGATTGCTAGGCAGTCAAAGGAAAACACGAACGAGAAGCTGTTATTTGTGTTGCATCCGAGACAGGCACTTATGTGAATCCCCGGAGCCATTACTGTCTGTAATGCCTACGCTGATTACCAAGGCTGGAGTTTCCAGTGCAAATAAAAGTCGTCCTTGGACGGGTTGGTCCGAAACAATGATAAATGGCATTGGTTCACTTAAATACTAAAAGAATTTTAATGTTATTGAACTTAAAAGAAAAAATATTGAAAATATTGAAAGCCCAAAGTCGTCATAATCTTTATAGTGAGTATTCCTGGAATCAGAATGAAAATGAACATATCTAACATAGGTACACTGTCCCCTTTCAGCCATCTTCCAGGATGGAGGAGTGCTTTCTTCTAAATCAGTCTTTCCATTGGCGGTGGCTGCACCATGTTCCACATCTCTACCCGGGATCCCTCCTTCTCCTGCCGGCTGGGGCTGTAGGTCCCTTGAGTCGCCCGTTTATTGGCAGCGATGACTGAAACCACAACTGCCAAGAAGAGGATCAACAACAAGGCCAGCGTTACTGAGCCAATGGAGGCGAATATGTTCGAGATCAAGTCAGTTGTCAACTGGAAGGATTGAAATAATCGCAATATAATTTACGTCAAGAGAATACTGAGACACACTTGAGCTACCATGGAAGGAAAACAAAAACCATTCTATGGATAGGGCTTTGCACAGATGAGCCACTGCTGAAGCACCGTTTCTTGGTAGAGAAGTACATTAACCTCTCCAGATTTTGGTCTTTGGACTCTTCAGAAAATTACACACATGGTGCTGGATATTTAATATACAAGGCAGAGCTGGATGAATTTCATGTAATGACCTATTTCATTTGACACCTTCCTTTCTGCTTGAAAATAACCTGTGAGTTAGTATGTCTGTGGACTGTAGTAGTAGTTCAGCAATTATTTGTTTAATCACTTTAATAATAATTCATTATCCCTAGTTTGGTTATGAACACTTTATTGCTAGTCTTTGCTATTGCAAGTTAAACATGAGCTATTTTGACTGGTTATATATTCAGTCACATTTCTGTTTCTTTTGCTGGAGGAGTCAAGTTTATGTGAATACTTGTACTTACATATATAAAATTTGCTTACTGTAAATATTTTTGTAAAATGTACTATTTCTACAGACATTCCTGCCAGTAAACTTTTCTACCAGCATGTTTTCATGAAATAAATGTAGATGCGGCACAAGGGTGCAACTGAAATTGAGTGAGAAATTAATCAGTATATTTTCACAAATATGTTTTGAAATATTCATCCAGCTCTTCTTCTACATATAGGCTTTGTAGCTTCATCTACAGAAACACAACCAGTACAGTACAGGATGAAAGCAAGGATGCTCTGATTTTTTTTTCTGTTTTCACGTGGCAGTGGGAAATGTGATAATGTCAGAAGGCACAGTGCACATAAACAAATCTGCCGGTTGAAAAGCTTTAGACCAGAGAAATTTTATAGTTGGTAGATGAACGTTTTATACACATCTATGTATGTCCTTTTATGTGTAAAAAATGCTTATGGTAAGGCAAGCCAACGAAGTGATGTGGTGAGTGTGGAAAAGTGGTCACTACGGACAGAACGACCGTAGCAGGAATTGAACTTCCGGGCAGGTTCTGCCATCCATCATCTTTTGATTTGTATTACGAGTGACAGCTGACCCGCCACAGATGAACGCGTGCTTGAGGCTGAACTTTCAAATCCCCAAATATTTAGAAACAGAAAACAGCCGGTCAAAGCCCATTTCCCAGTTAGATACTGCGTGTTACAGGATATTTTAGTGACCTGCTTACTCGTCATTTCCAAGGAAGTGCAATTACAGGCCTGGGAACGATGACGATTTTGCATTCAGCGATAGATGCCATTGCTGTGCGTACATAGCTTGGACTCATGCTGCTCAGATGCCTTTGCAGAAGAACAACAATGCCAGAGGGAAAACACTGAAACAATCCTTCCTCTTTTTTTCTCTCTCCACCTCCATGCTGATGTAAAAAGTCCTACTATAATAATAAAGGCAAGTTTGGCTCAGGGATTCTCTCCAGGGGACGCATGACCAGCTACGATATTTTCCTCTTCCTTGATGGCTAAGTATATGGTTCCTATGATTTTAAAAACATTTTTTCCAATAGAAATAATCTAGTGCAGGTGACAGACCACATTACTCCAACCCTAAAACAAGGTGGCATGAAACATGTCGGCCTATTAAATAGTATTGGATTGGGAAGGTCATTTCATCTTTAGATGGTGCTACAGATATATTTGAGATCTTAGTTCTTCTCTGTACTGTGTTAGACTATATGACCCTTGTTCCTCTTGTCTCAGAGAGACTGCAAATTTTTAATGGAATTTTTATTCTCAGAAGCTGTCTTTTATTTTCATTGTCTGCTCTGGGAAAGTGAGGACCAAGATAGTCTTAACTCTGATCCTAGGGTAGAACAGGACATTTGTGAAAGAAAGTCACTACCATAGGCAAATGGATGGTATTGCCTGGTCTCTGCTACGTGAAATTTCTGAACTTATTCTCCTATTTTCCAGTCCATACTCTTTCCATTCCTGTTGTAAGTATGTCTGTATCTATGGAGACATTTTCATTTATATCCTTCAAATTAATTTTATTGCTTAAAGAAAAATTTTATGCAAAGGAGTTGGGGAGAAAAAAACCCTCTGTAACTTGTTAAAATGCAGTCACATATCTAAACCTCATTCTCAAATTAAAATCATCATAACAGGGCTTTTTTTTGTTCTGCAATAGTTACTTATTACGGAAACCTTACCCATAGCACACCATAGCAATCCACTACACATTTTGTTCCAATTCTTGTTTCTGTTTAATAACTATTATTCATTCATTGGATTTGGTTTGGTAAACCAGTGACTTGAACTTGAAAAAAATTGCCCATATTGCCTGTATCTGTGTTGGACAAAACACTTCCTCCTGAGCCAGTATGTAAAAAAAAAGTTACCCCACTGATTAAAATCCAGAGAGCTGGGTTTTTTACCATGATCCAATACATAAGCTAACTTTATTCCTGTGTTTATGTGGCTTCTAATTTCTAAATATGAACAAAATGGCCTTTATGTCAGCTTTTTGGGTTGATTCTGTTGCTCCAAAAAACATCTGCTGTTCATGTGCTGTCCCCTGGTTTATCGGCCCACAGATCAGTGCCCAAGTTTACAATACAGGTAGCCCCCTTAGCTGCAGCACTGGACTGATAACAAGAGTTGCCAGAAGGCTCTGCAGTCAAAATCAATTGCTGCTTTAGTCATTAATGGCTGAACGGCTAAATTAATTTGGAAAATCAACTGGCTGATCTGGAAATAAAAATCTGAAAAGTTCTGTCCCCCGTCATTTCAGAGTCTGTTTGTCACAGTATTTGGTGATGATGATAGACTGAAATAATTGTAACTGGTGATCCCGGAAAGAAAAAGGACTGAGCAGCATTTTTAGAAACATAGTGCTGCTAAGATAGTGGAAAAAGAGGTTTTCTGTTACTGACCCTACAGTGTATTTTGCATAATGGTAGAGAGTGGACTTTAAAAAAGCAGTTTGAAGGTAAAGGTCTCATATCACTGCTTCAGGCTCTTCTGGTAAGTCCTTGCCTGTTGCTTCCACCATAGATGGATCTAGGCTATGAACCTCTCTGACGTTTCAAAGAGCAGAGCCCCTCTGACTGCTCTGGGACTGCTCATGGGGGTAGCTGCTTATCTCGGTGTTCTCGGCTGCTTAGCCGATCGCCCGTGGCTGCGAGTCTGTGGGAGTCACAAGGCGCGGGGTAGTGAGCAACGCACAGCTGATGTCTGCTTGATTAGACACACATACAACATCACTTTTCAGCTCCACATCACACAGGCTGCTATTTGCTTCCCCGTGTTAGCTTATTAAGATCTGGTTATTGAATTGATCGCTTGGGAGATGGCCACCACTTGCTATGAATATACACGTTTTTGGTGTGTTTATCACAAAGCCGTGGCAGAGTGCCACGCAAGAGGTGTTCTGTGGCCTAGAGCTTCAAAAGCAGAAGGGGAAAGCTCTGGAAAGGAAAGGACAATGTGAGGGAAACTTCATTTTGTCTCAGCACAAACAAAAAAAGCCACAGGTCGGTTGGAAATTTATGAAGAGAAACAAGTTACTGAATTTTTTTGCTAAAGACATTTGTTGTCAGGGAAGCCTATGAGACCTCCATACACTGTGATAGCCTTTCAGAAATGATTCTTGCTAATAAATACCACATGGTGATCACAGCTATTTCTGACTGTAACTTCAGCACTGCTTATGAATGACTAAATATATGTAGGGTAACTGAGGGAGGATTAATTTACTGACTGGGCAATACCTTAGAGATTCTCATTACACTTTGAGCAGGTGGTTGGACTGGAGCCCTCCTGAGGGCTCTTCCAACCTGAATTATCTTATGAGCCTGTTTAAAAGGTAGTCAGTGACAGAACAGTTGTGAGAGTTCCCCTGCCCCTAATATACAGTAGCTGTCGGTAAAAGCTGTACCCTTAATGGTAATGGATGCTGGTGGCAAGATGATGTCATGTGCCACGGTAATACCAACAAAATGAAGTCTGCTAATATTAGAAGGCCAATCTGCTTCTCGCTAAAATATTTTACATAGCACATTCTATTTATATGTCTTTGGATGTCAGCTGGAGCAAGATGAATTTATTTTGGCAAAACTTAAAAAAAAAAAGGAAGAAAAATAAAATATTCTTAAATTTAGTTTTCATGTAGTGAATAGCTTCATCTGCAAAGACAGGATGAAATGCAGGAAAAAATCTTTTTTTATCTTTTTTTAAAACGAAGTCTTTTGGTTTTCACTGGTGGTTTCATTTCAAAGCTGATTAATTTTTTAGTTTTTTTAAATTATTAAATAAAATTATTTAAAATGTTTAGATTAGATAAAATAAATCATTGGATAGAGTGAAAATTCATTGTAGGGCTGGGTTTTGCTTTTCATTTGGTTATTGAAATAGATTGATTGTTCAGCCTTGGTTCCTTGATTTGCTTTGTAGATGAACGGTTTGGACAAGGAGGGCCAAGTTCACAAGTCAAAGCTCAGTAGCATTTATCAATCCAGTATATGTATGCTTATCTTTAAACAAGCCGTCTTCCAAATGGTTATTTTATAAGAGGGGAACATTAGGGATTTGCTATGTATGAACCTTTCCATGTGTGCCAAATGTCAAAGGCAAGTGGAACAGCACCAGGAAGCCAGCGGAATACACAGGGCCTCTTCCTCATGTGTGTTTTACATCAGCATGACTTAGCTGATCTAATCCTGCTTTATGTCAGTCTAGGGGGATGAGAATTGTGGCCACAGACACCAAGGGCTGAGCCAGATCAGGGAGAGAGAAGAGCGAGCCAGAGCAACCGCTGTAGGTGTGAGAGAAGTAGCATGAGCTTCCTCGCGACGCTGCTACCCGGGCACGAGCTTTGGTGGGAAAGTGTGGCTTGGGCCAAGGGTACGTGTCTTCGGGATGTGAAAGGCATAACGTGCTCTGAAAGCAGAAGCACGCTTCTCTTGCTGGGCAGTGAGAATTAATCAGCCTTCATTTCAGCA